CTCACTAGCACCTGGTCATCCACACTATGACCACTCACTAGCACCTGGTCATCCACACTATGACCACTCACTAGCACCTGGTCATCCACACTATGACCACTCACTAGCACCTCATCATCCACACTATGACCACTCATTAGCACCTGGTTATCACTGTACAATATTCGGAATGTGAAACATTAACTATCTTCGACTAAAACTGCACTGTAGTAAAAACTGAAACAGATGGAACTGAAAACTAAAGAAGACTGCATTACACGTATTGTATATAAATAAAATCTATCAAAACGCTTATACTAAAGAATGCGTCATTTATAATTGCTTAGGCATTGCGGGAATTTATAGCTAGCTTTCAGTTTTTCTAACTTTCCCCGTTAACTTAAGTAAAGATTTTGGTTTGTGCACAGATAGTTTGCTCAGGTGAAACACAGTTAGTTTAGAATATTATTTTTCTAATCACGTGTTTTTGTGTTTGATAATAATCTGTGTTACAGAAACAAATGGTAATGGTGTTGTTCAGAGAGCACAGGTGAACGCTAAGGGTTGTGGTTAGAATTTTTTCATCACATCACTTTGTACAATTGTTAGTCTTATCACAAACCGTGGTACGGAAGTCAGACAATAATGTCTGCTGGAACGACTAGTCTAATCCAATCGGGGAATTAGCAACGATGTGCAAGCCTCATCTCTCCAGGTAACAGCAGATTTTCTCTCTTATCGAGGTTTCCGGAAGAACGAGCACGTGCCGCATGCTCGTAAGAGCGTGATGTCATTTTCTTCTGAAACATTCTGTACTATGATGAACTACTGTGGTTCTTTTGTCATCGATTTGACTCCCTATATATGTAATGTCAACTTTTTGGAAGCCATAGATTGGACTGAATTAAAATATTTTTAATTGTGATCTATTTTAATGTTGTGTGTTATTTATTACTTTACGTTCATTGTATTTTCTATTGGTCTGACACTCAAGCATTTCTTTTATGTAATTAAGAACTCTATATTTTTTCAAGCTTATTTTGTATAGCATTGAAGGCTTACCAACAAATAAACCACCCAGCACTAACAGAAGATGCGTCTGGCTGCTGTCTGGGGGCATGTGTAGAGCACCAGATTGTACGTATGGGGTGGGGAAAAGCAATGTCACCATCAGGAGTGAAACAATTCTCACAATGAACTTTATCTTAGTTTATGAGCATATTATAAATGTAAAACTAAATCTACTCAAGCATGAAAATAGTAGCAGGTTTGATATAGTGGCTTCGGTCTGTGATATTTTACAATTTAAAACAAATAAAAAAATGCCCGGGCAATAAAGCTTTTCAGAACATCATTGTGCAGGATAGTATCCACGACTGTAAAAGTGACTAACCACATCTGTTTGATCGTGTTATTTTTTCAGGAACTATACAGTTGGTTGCAGTGTTGAAACAGATCTTTAGAATTCAATGTCATTTATTAAACTAAAGAGTTTGGAAGTCAGCCGGTATCTAACCATCCATCTCGTAGGTTGATAAAGTTACTAGAGTGTTTATGTGAATTTGAATGCAACAACCTTTATCGCAACCGCATAGACTGATAATGTTGATTTTTAACAGCTGTTATGTGGGGTTAAAATATCAGAGACAGTCGTACAAGATAAACTTTTATGACGTCAGATTTATATAATTTATATGAGATGTACGCGAAATTTGTTTTCAGATAATGAAACAGTAAAATGAATGAATTTGCTGATTTTTCATCTAATATTTATTTGAAATCGCCATAAAATTAAGTAATTTTGATCAGTTTTTTTTTACAATCATTAACGCTGTATGTACATGTAATTACATCAAATTTGTATTTGTTTTTGGTAGATTATTAGGGATCGAATAAGTGCTCAAACTGCGAGAAGTTATGTTATTTGGAATAGTCACCCTGGAGCACTTTTATCACTTCCTCAGTTCTCAGACATTTTACGAGATTTTCCTTTTTATTGGCGCCACCTGGCAGCATCCATAAGCCCTAATTTTACAGCCATTATCTATGCTACAATGCCTATCATGTCTTCTTCTTCTCCGCTTGCACGGCTTATCAAGAACGTTGCCAAATCTTCGTTTGCTTCAAGAGTAAGTGAATATCTGTGATGAGTTGCGGTATGATATATTTAAGCGTAATATTACTTCCAAAAAATGAAGTAAGCAAAACTGTGCACATTCGTTAATTCTGTACTGTTCATTTTGTTATATTTTAAAGCGATTGATTAGTTATAACATTATATTTTTTGTACAAAATGTTGTGCTGTTTCTGTTCTTATGTCGTAACGTAACTTGCTTTTTTATACCTATTTTAGTAAGGCAGCTGTCTAATGTAATATAACAAATACTCAGTAGAAAGTATTAAGCATTTGTCTACGTTAGCGTAAAACACTTTTTAAATACTTTAATTTAAAATCCTGCATGCATGAACTTATAAAAGCAATCAAACTTGCTAAGAGTAAAATACTTAGAAATAAAAACGTTTCGTGATTTATTTTAAAATATTTTTCATAATTATCGAATAAGAGAGAATATTTTTTTTTCTTTCACTTCGGGATATATCCTTAAAATCATTAATATCGTTACTCACAGATTTTGGTTTTATGGAACGGAGAAACAGCTCCCCCTATTGCCAATAAATTACCTCAAGTCTCTGTGCCGGTCAACATTATTCAGCCGCCCCAAAAGGTAAGTTTCTGTAACCACTTGAGGCAGCTAAATGTTTAGTACGAAATATTCCTCATAAATTCACTATTACGATTGGTTACTGATAAAACTATGTATTTATATGTCATTAGGCTTTCGACTGGTTTCTCTTCAATAATAGATTTTCATTTTCGAATCGATTTTTGAAAGACATTATTGCCATTCAAATTATTTGTTCTACACTACGTTACCAAATGAAATTTCGCTACGATTTTATTCCAATGACACATTAAAGTACGTGCAAACTGTGAGTAAAGGATTTGTTTGTGTGTTCGTTTTTTTTGAATTTCGCGCAAAGCTACACGAGGGCTATCTGCGCTAGCCGTCCCTAATTTAGCAGTGTAAGACTAGAGGGAAGGCAGCTAGTCATCACCACCCACCGCCAACTCTTGGGCTACT